TCGCCATCAACGACTTTCCGTACATCTCCGTAGAACAGCGGCCTGATGGCTCAGTCACTTTCAGCGGCTACCTGTTCCAGTTGTGGCAAATCATCGCCGAAGAGCTGGGCATCAGCTATGAGATGGCGACTCCTCTCGTCCCCGGCTACGGCAGCTTGAGCGACAACGGTACCTGGATGGGCATGGTGGGAGACCTGGCTTACGGTCGCGCCGATCTAGCGCTGGCGACGCTGGTCTCCACTCCTGCTCGAGCTGCCGTGGTCGACTTTCTGGACGAGGTACCGTGCGCGTCGGCGACATCCACGTTCCTGATACGGCGCGACACGGCGGTGACGCCGCCCCTGTCTTCGGCTGTGTTCGCGGGCCTGCTGCGGCCGCTGGGCGCCGACGTCTGGTGGACGCTGGCCGCCGCGCTGCTGGCGCTCTCGCTGGTGCTGCGCCTAACGCTGCGGTTCAACAGCGCCAGAGCCGAGGACGGCCGGCTGGTGCGCGACATGGGCTTGGGCTCGTGTTTGCTCGCTGTTTCCATGACCGTGGTCGGTCAAGGCTGGGACAGAACACCACAGTCGCTGGCAGGTCGCATCGCAACCATCTTCAGCTGGTTCATGGGATTTCTGATCTACATGAACTACACGGCCAACTTGATATCATTCCTGACCGTTGAGACGGTCCACCATCCGATCAGCAGTCTCCGCGAGTTCGTCGAGCAGCCTGACTGGACTCTAGCATTGCACCCAGGCGCACTAATTCAGAGCGACCTGAGGTCTAGTACCGATATCTACGAAAGAGAGCTCTACCGACGCTCCGTTACTGGCGACAGATTCATTACAATTGACAGGACGAAAGAAGACATGCTCCGGGCATTCCAACCAAAGGTTATGCTACATTCCGAGGTGGAAACTCTGCATCACTTTATCGGAAAGGAATCTTGCAACTATGCACCATTGAAGCAAAATTCGGCTAAACCTGCATCTTACTATTTGGCGATCTCCAAGGAAATGAGCACTCTGAAGAGAGCCATCGCAAGAGTACTGCAGAAACTGTTCGAAACAAGCACCATGTCTCGACTCAAAAAGTCTATCCTAGAGGACCAGGACGAACTATGTGAGCCACTCCAACGATACGAACAATTATCTATCAGCGATCTGATGGCAGTTCTGTGTGTAATTCCTCTCGGAATAACCATTAGCCTGACCATATTTGGAATTGAGCTGTTCTTGCGCAGAGCTAGACCGACAAGACGCCGTCAGTTATCAGGATCAACAAGACTGAGAAGGAAAGCTACTAAAGAAGCTCCTTGGGTGGCTGCAGTACAACGCTGTGAACGGTGCAGAGTGATTCTTGGCCGTGAAGAACGCTGGGCCTGGTCGTGAAGAACGCTAGGCTTAGTCGTGAAGAACACTGGATCTGGTTTGAAGAACGCTGAGCCTAGTTGTTGAAGAACACTGGACCTGGTTGTGAAGAATGCTGGGTTTTGCCTGAGAAGAGCGCTGGGTTTGGTCCTAAAAAGAACGCTGGGCCTGGTCATGACAAACTCTGGGTCTGGTTGTGAAGAACGCTGGACTTCGACCTGAAGAACGCTGACGCAGTGGGGTTTGGTAGTCCCATGCTCAGCTGCGACGCAACCACCTGGGACGAAGACGCGCAACGCATAACAACCCTGCCACATCGTCAAGTGGCAAGGTGATAACTTGGATGTCCGTGGTATTCCTACAATGACTACAGGTATCATCATTAGCAGTGGCGGCGGATTCGATTTTGGCGTGGGGGGGCAAGATCCCAGTCGAGATGATATCATAGGCGGATCCAATAAGGCGTTTTCGACGCTGCAGTGGACATACCCCCCCCCCCTCAAGTGTCCAAAATCCAAAAACTCCTCGGATTTCGATTCCTTACTGCTGAACAGTATGAAGCAAAAAAAAATCTGATAAATACTTTTTAAAGGAAGGTTGGAAATCGAACGTAAAATGAACAGAGGAAATGGTAACGAGTTACCTCATTGAAAAATAGCGCTCGCCTACTTCAAAAGGTTCGGCAACGTTCTTCAAATCTAATTTGCGATCGGGTTATGGGCTATGGCACAATTTTCCCCATTGGAGATTTTTTTTCTAACACAGCAATACGAAAATCGTTATACCTATCGTCCACTGGCAGATCCAGGGAGCGGGTATATAAAGCAAATATTTACTCCCCCTCCCCTTGCATCGCCCGAAATAGACAAAACGTATACCTTATGTTTCCTAACACAGATAACAGTAGTACTACTGTTATCTGTGTTCCTAATAATAAAACTTTTCTGAGACAGATATCAACTGAAACTAGCTAACAGCGGGAGTAGACCGCTCAAACATTCAGACAGTCGGTCGCATCTAAACCTATTGGGACAGCAATCCGCCAGAAACCCACCCCAAGGCAGTAGTTCGCCAACTAAGCTCACCGAGACGGGCTGTCTCGATGGGTTTATCCTACAGTAAGCCCACAGCAAGGCTTAACTAAGGCCCAAACGCTCGTCAAGCTGGGAACGGAGGGCTGAGGTGAGGGAGTCGAGCAGCGGACTAGGGTGAAGGAATCCGGTGGACTGGCACGAGAATCCAGAAGCTCTGGGGGGGGGGGGGGGGCGTTTCTGTATTAGGGCTTTAGGGTGCGCTGAATGCGGTAAGGTCCAAATTATCACACCAAATTTTGCCACGACATCTACCGGTTCAGGCACTCGAGAACACCGTTCCGTGCTTCTATCCTCAGGATACTGAAATCCTTCTCCTCCACACCGCAACCCCCCTCCGGACTGGACAGGCCACTTTATCTCATGCGGGCTGCTCCCTTGGAGCGGCACCGCTGCTCCCGAGGGAGCGCACCCTGTAGCCGGGTGCAGTGAGTGCCTTGGGGCTGGGTGACCTGTCCTCTGGACTTGTTCAGCCCCGGCGACTCACTAGGGTGCTTGCCCAGACTAATGTCTCCCCCTTTATCCTATCTTCCTCCCGGCTCTGAAATGGTCCCATTGGACCGAAAAGGCCTAACCCAACAAAACAAAGCACTCGAGAACCAGCGGCCAGTGATATCTGCAAAGACGAAGCATTTCCAACCCAGCTTCAGCCTGGTGTCAGGGCGCCTCAGGTGGCTTTAATTACAGTTGCACATACCAAACGACCTCAGTGCAGCCAGTCTGTCGCCGAAACCATTCGGAACATACTTCAACGAAAAGTGAGACAAGGTTAGTGGTATCGTTAAGTGCAATTATAGACTTGGACCCCGTTGGCTTGACCCACTGGAAGGTGGTAGTTATCGGACGCTGCGGGGCATACTCATTTTTCCAAAATGCCTTAGATTTTGCTTTCGTGTTCAATGCTCTATATTCTTTAGCCAGAGGGGGGCCCACTAATGATCAGTGCCCTAACCCTCAAAAGTTTCCAACGTTATTTTTTACTTATTTAATAGTGAATGCTGAAATAAAGCGGATACTGAACTGTGAACATCCAGTTTTTACACTGTCCCCACACAAGCCTCCGAATGCCCAAAGCAGATCTCTGATGACTGGCCAGTGGCCTTTGGGTGTCATACCGTGCATTGGTCAATGTGGTCAATGATTACGACCTCGGCGTTTACCATGTTACTGGCACTGGAAACTGTTGCGCTCGAAAAAAAAAATCAGGGGAGTGGCTTATTACGAGCGCTCATCAGTCCTAAACTACCCGCAAGCGAATGGCTAGCCTTTCCGTCTCCGCTCGCTTGCGATTTGGCATTCATGTAGGTACAAAATAGCGGCAAACGACCATTGAGGGTGTGAGTCGCGTCTCTTGCACACTTAAAATATCTCTAAATCGAATCTGAAAAGACAAAAAATGCTATAAAGCGGAAATAGTTAGCATTTACACATATTCAAAAGGCACCGTTGAACAAACTGTAGGAGCGCATAGCTGCAATATCAGGCTATGGAAAATGGAAATGTTCCTCATGTTTAGGGCACGAATTATGGAGGGGCAAGAATATACGTTTGTCCCTCCTCCAGAAGTTTCTTAGGGAACGATGCCTCCTCTGCCGCTCCGTGTCCGTCGCCCCTGTAAGCGGTCACTGAAGGCCTGGGTTGCCGCTGCGTCACGTTAATTGACGCTTATAATGCCTCCAAAACTAGGTTGAAGAGAGGAAAAGTTCAACTGAACGCGAACACTTGTCATGAAAGGCAACGTATGATAAAGGCAACGCAACAATCAACTTGCTAGGTTCAATTCAAACCTAAAACATATCTAAATATGAAATATGGAAACGAATAATAAGATGTCGAGCTGCTCCGTTTTAGGTAAGCACTAGTACGCTATCTCCCTTATCCGGCGCCCAGCTGGGGATCCTGAATTTACACGCTCTGCTGGGGGGGGGGGGGGGGGGGTGCTGAACACCCCTTTGTATGTATGCATGTGTGTCTGTATTGTATGTATTTATGATCATGGGCGATTCACACATAACTCGGCGTCTGGGCCACGTAGCGAAATGCTGTAGGGGGCGCTCGAAAGAGCGCCAAAAATATCCAGGAAAAACTAAGATCTTTTTAGGTCAGGTCTAAGGTCAGGTCACGAGAGGTCACCAATTCAAAGCTTAAATTTCGCAACTTATAGGTACGATGCATATTTTTTGAAAAGCACCTTCATTGGTAAAAGGAGGAGAGGCATGGATAATTCTAAAATCTCTTTTTTAAATCACAAATGTTTAATTATGAACCCTCGCACCCTCGCCGGCCGAGGGGGTGGGCGGGTGCCGTTATGCATCAGTTGTTTGCTTTCGTTTGTTTTGGACTGTATTGTCACTATTTTACCACATCCACTGCTGGTATCAATATAAATACTACCTTATGCCGTTAATAGAATAGCACCCCTTTTATAATATTGGGCCAATTGGAGTCGCGCCCCGCGAGCTCGGTTTTCCGCTCGGCCGCTACGGGCCGAGGAAGTCGGTCCTCGCCTGAGGGCAGGACGGAGGTCATGGAGGGAGCGCGGGGTCAGCCAGGCATCGCCTGGTGCCGAGCGGGTGCCCCTCCCTCCCCTCCCTTCCCCTCTCCACCTCTGTAGTGGATTCAGCCAAGTTATCGATTCGCCTACCGTGTAATAGTCGAAGGGTATACTTTTTGGATATACTGTAGGCTAGCGACCAAGACTAGAGAACAGTTGAAAGTCAATGCAGGCCCGTGAAGCAAGCTTAATTTGGCGTTGTTAGCGTTCGCGGAAGTGTTACACCTGACCTCCAAAAACACAACTCCATACCCCTGGCGGCCCAAAGTGGAACCATCCGTTCCACGCGCCCTGCCCGCGGGGGTGGACGTTGGGCGCCCATGACCCACACCGGTGTGCTGCTCATTGGTGCCGGTATGTACTGAGTACTGACGCTCACACGATCGACCGCGCTGCACTCGTCAGTCTGCCGGTGACCCAGCTGGGGCGCTGGTGGCCGCCGCTCGTGGCTCGTGGGGTAAGTGAAGGGGTTGGTGTCAGAGGTGGTTAGTGAGTGAGTTGGTGAGGTTAGTGAAGCCAAGGTGGTGTAGCGGTGTGGTTTCTGAAGTCACTGCAAATTGAAATTGAGCTACCCATAGACGTGCCAAAGCATTCATTTTGATTCACTTTATGATCTCGGTTAATGACTAAATGCAATTGTTTTTGCTTCCAAAGTGTCGCACTTTAATTGCCTACGCATAACTATAATGACATGGGAAGTGCACACAATGATTTTTGTTTTTGGCAACAACCTATCAACTATCATTGGCTGTTTGTCTTTTTGATTTAGGGCTTTCGCCAATGTTTACCTTAGAAGCAATTTGCATAGATTTTAGTGCTCTTTTGTATGTGTGTCTAAGGATTGTGGCTGCTTCACACTTCAGAGGTCTTAACCCTCGTCCGTATTGGGGTCATTTACCCCCCCCCCCTGCTTTTCGGCCCCTCGTCGAACAAGTGCTTTGCGGAAAAAGAGCGTGCGTGTTGCCCGTGACAAGAGGGAGCCGATGATACCCAATTTTAAGGTCCTAGGCCATCGGTTGACCCTCCAGATTAGGTCAATGACCCAAAAGTCGGGAAAATTGGTAAATATTTACATAAAGTCCGATCCATATTTCAAGCATAAATTTTGCATATTCTTACGTTATTTGACATCCTGAATGTAGATATGATGCTTACATGCGGCGGAAAACAGTGCTACCATATTAAAAATATTTGCTACCATATTTGGGGAAATGTTGGGAACCGGGGTTTTTGGGTGGGGGAGGAAATACAATGCCGTAAGAATGGTTATGAAAGTTGGGGGAAACTGTTGGGAACCGGGGTTTTTGGGTGGGGGAGGGGGGATCGGGGTTTATGGGTATGGAGAGAAACCCCGGTTCCCAACAGTTTTCCCCAACTTTCATGACCATTCTTACGGCATTGTATTCCCTCCCCGACCCAAAAACCCCGGTTCCCACCATTTCCCCAAATACGGTAACAAATATTTTTAATATGGTAGAACTGTTTTACGTCGCATGTAAGCATCTTATCTACATTCAGGATGTCAAATAACGTAAGAATATGCAAAATTTATGCTTGAAAAGTGGATCGGAGAGATAAAATTTACTTACCTCTAATCTAGTTCACCGTGGTTTCGAAAAATACGCTGGACGCGTTCCTCGTTGCGGTACGCAACTGAAACTAGTTCGTATTCCTCCCACTTGCACCCGGAGCACGACGAACCACCCGGCACGGAAGCCATGATCCAACCAACAGACTGGCGGGAAATCGGAAAGCACTGGAAAGCACCTGCTAAAACTGGTTCAAACCAGTTTGCTCAAACGGAAACGGAAGTTTCTGCTCTAAATTGCAGGTACGAATGGAAAGAAGTTTACGTAAGGTCATAGCTATTAGGCATATTTGATAGAAAAGATATCATAATTATATTATTTGAACATAAAAAATAAATAAAAAATCATCAAAAAGCAATTTAAATGTAAAAAGCATTACTTCTTCTCTATTCAAATTGTTTGATGAAAGTGACGTCAAAATAACAAAACACGAAAAAAAAATGTTTTGAAAATTGGAGTTTTGTTGGGTAGGATAGGAAAAAAAACACGACAAAAATTGTCAGAACCTAATCTAACCTGACCTAACCTGACCTACTGATTTTTGCCTACCCGGGGATAAGGAAACAGTTGCTCGCATGAATAGATTGCAAGCAATGGTAAGTCAAATATTTTTAGGTTAAGTGGTTGTGCATCAGGCCTCAGGCCTTCGGCCTGAGGCCAGATACACAACCACTTAACCTAAAAATATTTGACTTACCATTGCCTGTAATCTCTCCTAAGGCATTGCCTTCGGCACTGCACCGCTTCGCCACGATCATTTTCATGACGTCACTTTCATAATGAGATTGAAAAGCGTAATGTTTTCACTCAACCTTGGAGTTTATTCATTCGATCCATCTCACGTGGCGCAAACGGCTGGTGGAGTGCGTTGACGGTGGGTGTCGTGGGATGGTGGCCGGCGGCGACGGTAAATATTGCGCAGTTGCTTTAAAACTTGGTTGCGCCATAAATAACTATCAGATATGGAATCAGGAGCTCAAAATACATCGAGTGGTGTGGTTTTTATAATCGTCTTGTTGATCGGACCTTATGTATATAAATACCGGAAAATTGGGACCTGTTAGAACTTCGTAAAGTGAGGTTCTTGTGAGGGTTTTCGGGGTGCTGATCACGAATTTCATACAAGTTTCGATCACGGATGATAGCTTTATACATTTACGAAGCTGTGTCTGAAATTTAGTGGCCCCACGTGCCACTGCACTGACGCTCTTAACGAAAACTCTGTCGTTCCGTTGCCGTGACCTGACCTGACCTGAAAGGACTGAGACCTGAAATTTTCAGGAAAGGTGTAAAAAAAGGCTTCCTCAGAGGGTTTGCCAAATTCTGCGGCGCTACACGCCGAGGTTTTTACGAAAAGGCCTTAGGGGGGTTGCATCAACCCCCCTTTGCCTAGCGAGGGGCAAAGCTTTGTTTTTCTACCTTCTCGCCTACTAAGCGTAATTTCGAAGAAGAAATAAATAACTTTTCTCATAGCTAGTGATCTTGCTGACCAGATGAATGTTCCCTCAGGAAAAAACGCCATCAGACATCTTCAGCTGCAGGAAACCAGCGAGACCACCATAAAACATTTGGAGACCTCCGAGGACCCTGCAAAGGAGTACCGAAGTGCAACAACGCCAATCGGCGGTATGATGAGCTTCCAGTCCGGTGTACCGAGGAGCGCGAGGGGGTTCTTCTTTTGGATTGCAACTGCTGTGCTCCTGATGGTGGGAAGTCTGCAGATTTATCAGTCCCAACAGTACTTCAGAAACTTCGGTAAGTCACTTTGTTGAGATGTGTTGTGATGCACGGTAAACGTGCTTTTATAGTTACACTGAGTGGTTGGATGGTAAGCATTAAGTCGTGATGTACATTGTACAGTCTGTCTTAAAAGTACCGCGCAAAATGACAATGGATCCATCAAGCCTGACCGAGGAAGGGCCTGCTATAATTTGAACGTCACCGAACCAATTGACCTGGGGAATGGTCGAGGATGTCAATGGCTTCGGTGACTCAAATTTAGCAGGCCCTTCCTCGGTTAGGCTTGATGGATCCACCTTTACTTTGCGCGGTACTTTTAACCTTCGCCCCAGTGGGGGGGGGGGGGGCAAATGTTACCACCCTGTCGCGTTTTTTTCGTATAAATAAAAAACCGCGGCGCGTAGCGCCGCGCCGCTTGGGGTAACTTTTGGTACATCAATTTTGAACAATGTGTGAAATTTTTGACCCCAGGTCATGTCAGGTCAGGTCACTAGGTCAAGTTAACTGATCAAGCCTAAAAAAGTTTGCAATCATGTCCAGCCTGCAGTGTTTGTCAGAGAGGTTTCAAACTTGGTGGATTACATGATGTCATGGGTGCCTACAATTTGTATATCTCGGATTTTTTATATGCGTGACCTAAGGTCAGGTCAGTGGCGTGACCTTTCCATTATAAGTCAATGGAGAAAAACGAAAATGCCTCTAGATCCGTGTGTACGCATAGGAACAGTCCAAATATTTCAGGATAACAATGATTTGGACCATCAGTGACGACTAAGGTGTCTTTTTTGCTGATAGCCTCTTGAAAGGTCATCCGAGGTCATTTGAGGCTACAAACAGTTTTTTGCCAATAACTCTCGATTGGAAAGAGATAGAACGCTGGGGTTGGCCTCATTGTGTTTGTCTTGCCGAGACGCATCGACTGATATGCAACATGACCTTTTCCGGTCAGGTCATGACCTTGACCTGAGGTCAAATTTTGAAGTTGACCTTTCAAGGTCAAATTATAGTTCATTCGACGCGTCTCGGCGAGAGGAACACGATTCTGGCATTATAAATGACCTAGCTTTCTTAAGTCAAAAGTTATCGTCGAAAAACACTTTTCTTAAAAACAGCTATTTTTGGAGTTTTTGCCCTCTGAAGGCTAAACCGTTGACCTGAGGTCATTTTTGATGATGATCTTATCAAAAGAAGAGTTCAAAAGCTATCGAATGCTTTTCCCAGCGTTTTTCTAGCTATCATAGTTCCTGAGATAATGGCATGTTTTCTGAAAAATAAAATGACAATTCGCAAATTTTGACCTTTGATGACCTCTGGTGACCCCAATATTGCTCTAAGATGAAAAATGACCAAATACTTTCAAACGTACGCATCAAGAGCTATCGACTGCTTTTTACCGCGTCTTTCTAGCCCTCTTAGTTTTTGAGTTAGAGGTGGGTGGTAACATATGCCCCCCCCCCCCCCCCCCCCACTAGGGCGAAGTTGGCGGAGACCGCCACTGGGGCGCGGGTTAAGCCAGACTACTTATTGCTCACACTGGCGAATTGGGAGCAATATCAGACAACATATATGCAGCCTCAATAGTAGAAAATGTAAAAAATGTAAAAACATGACAGGGAAGGTGTTTATATCGGAGAGACAAAACGGCCATTGCGCCTCAGGTTCAATGAACACGTGCGCGACATGACCAACAGGACCCCTGACACTCCGTTGGGTGATCACTTTACGGAGAAACACGGTGACAGCATCGTAGATGGGACGTCTGCTCCGCTCAAAATTAAAATATTGTACAAGTCTAAAGACCATCCAGACCGTAAAATAGCTGAATCGCTGCTGATAAGAAAGAACCGTCCGGAACTCAACAGTAATGTATCGTCTTGGCCTATTTTGTAAGGTAAACAATGCTAGGAACAACGCCGATGTATGTGTAAATGTGTACTGTATATGTACTGTGCACTAGGTACTGCGTATGTTAACGCGTTCAAAGCTAGATAGTGTTTGTGTGTGTGTGGGAGGGGGGGGGGGGGGGAGGGTGCAGACTATGTGTGTTTTTGATTATGGGCATCGAACGCTATATGTTATGGCATTGAACGCTATAGGTATGTTAATGCGAGTATGCCAATTATGCCCATCTTTGCTTTCTTTGTATTCCATTCTGGTGTTACGGTGTTATGTGAATACTGGACGGATAGACACGTAAATGTGTAAAAGCCTGGACACTGGACAGCATATGATAGTTGCTGGCATGCTGCATCTGTTATGCCTTGTAGACAGCTGGGTGACTTTGGACGAAATTGTGAGAAATAATGGCGAAGGCCTGTAGGATGTTTTGTGTTATGGTCAGTCGGTATGTTAATACTTACTTATCTCGTACGGCTGAAACTATGTATTTTGAAAAATAGGTGACCTATGTGATGCTATTTTTGCTAGCCAAATATTTCATGAGTGGTGCGAGTGAGCTAGTGGGCACGATTCAACCATAAATTTTTGTTGAAAGGCAGTTGGAAATGCGGCAAATGGAAATGCTATCTTTTCTAATTTGAAACTGTTTGAAAAAGACCTGTGGTCGAAATATTACATCTTTCAAATAAAGTATATATTTGTACAGCATTAGTTTTGGCAATTATCGAGGAAATAAGGTCATGTTTTTACATTTTTTACATTTTCTACTATTTATGAACATGTTCCTCGCACAAGCACTAACCTCATTATATGCAGCCTCAAGGAAGTGTTTCATGGCGACTGATTGTAAATGGCATAATGTGGAGGTGGACTGGATGTGGTGTGATTATTTTCTAATCAAATAGTTTATTGGAGAAAAATATTGAAAAGAACACGCATTTTCGTAGAATTATAGAGTGTGTCGTTTAAATTGTATCTGTACATTATCATTTCTATGACTTTCGTATAAAATTCTACCTAATTTGCCAATATTTTGTAATATATGGCAGAACACCTGTCAGAAAATGTCACAAAGGACACCTGCGTGACTTACACCTGGGCTATTTGATTTCGCCATTGTTACAAGTTGGCCTCAAAGCATTCGCCGCACAGACAGCGCAGACTGTCCGATTCTATTCAGGATGTACTGTTTGGTCGAAGTCTGTTTCTCAGTGTCACTCGTCGGCGGTTCTAGTTTTATATCAGCCGCGTGGCATAAAAACTAGAACCGCCGACGAGTGACTAAAAACTAGTCCACCTGGGCAGAATGGCAGCGCACAAAAAGCAACGTCCGGCGGCCCCGGGAGCCTCAACAGATACCCCGAGCAAGCTTCAAACGGTGGAGAAAAATAGTCTCTGTATCACTTGTGGACTATACGATGCATTTGAGTAAATCCCTGCAGTGACGAGCAGCATTTGTGCTGAAGGTACAGCGAATGAACATGTTCAAAGGGCGAAGGGCACGTCTGTAAAATGCTGTTTTCGTTCATGATGTCACCCAAAGCCAAAACGAAACCTCAGCTCTGAGGACGTATTCATTGAAGTTCTTTATTTACAGGTCCACCAAATGTTTTTTTTTTTTTTTTTTGCAATACTCCATCTTGTTGTTCATCAGCTATAACCACAATTTCCATTAACGTCTTAATCGGATTTTTTTTAAAAGGTGATTACTTTGGTGGCCTGACAGGCTGACACATTTCCTTTGACCAAGCCTAAAAATAACGGAAATATACGTTCATCTGACACTAAATGTGACCGCAGTCGCGCTGTCAACTGCCGCGCTGACTTACATGTAGTAACTTTCCACTACTGAAATCACATGACTACTACTCTGTCGTAATCTCAATGTCCCAGCACCACGTGATTTTTTTACGTCAGTCTGACTTCTGATGTTTCACCTTTTAGGCCCGCTGTTCGTCAACTGCAGTCATCGCTACTGTCTTGCTTCTGGCCTTTATGGTCAGGTGTCGTTGGGCTTACCGGGTCAGAAGACCTTTTACGGCGTGCCAGCAGGTAATGTACCGCACGGTTCGCGGGTTTACCAAGTCAGGAGACCATTTACGGTGCCACCAGCTCGTAGTGTGTGGACTGCTCGTTAAGGCGCCTTGGTCGTTAATGCGACCAAGCGTGCTAGTGAGCCCATGCTATAGAAGACGGATGAGGCAGCTGACAGACAGTAACATTTAGTCCAACCGTATCGAAAAGTGTTCTGGAAGTACACTTATTATTGCGTTAAAGTACATGAATGTAAGATCATTCAGGGCATTTCCATGCATTCAAGAACCAGCGTTAGCGTTGATGCATGCAAAACGTTGCCCGTAAAGCAGCCATGGTATGCAATGAAGGTAAAACTAACGTACGTCACATTGTTGATGTCTGATGAGTAATGACATTAGGAAATCGATGGCAGGACTTGCGGTGTGCTCAGTTTGCTAGTATGTTTCAGGTCTGAGCTTCTCCATTCTGCAGGTACCACTCTTTACTTTAGTTTTTTTTTTCAAAAGGAGTTTGGCTCCAAGTTTATTATCGTAGCTTTCACGTGCGTTTCGGCAACTTCAGCGTATGGCTAAAAATTTCCTACCGTTAAAATGATTTTATCGGGAATAATTCACATGTTAAGATTAGGCGACGATCGATTTCCTCAGGCTCAGTTTATGCCCGTTTCGCAAAAACTGAAATTGTTGTTGGCCGTCTGCACCCAAATCGTGTTATCGTTCACATCATGATCGATAACAAGACGGGCCGACGACGAGTGTCTCTACAGGATGGTGTTAAGGACTGAAGGTTGTAGTGAGGGGCCGGGGGGTGGGGTCATTTTTTCGCAGCCTGTCACTCAATCCCCACTCGTCACCCCGTCCGTCGCCTCTGAGCGCGCGTCTCGGGCTGTTCGACCACGTGGTGTTTGCTTCTTCCCCGGGCCTGTTCCACCACCCCTCGCTCCCTCTGTTTACTGCTCGTGCCTTATCTCGGGGTCAGCCTCCTCCCCTCTGCCTCGGGTCGTGTTTCCCCTCTCCTCTTCCACAGACACACGTCTCTACCGTCTTCGCCCCCCCTGCCCCTCCCCTCCTTCCTCGTGCTTGCTGCCGGCCGCTCACTGACCTTCGAGCCCCTAATCGACAATAGGTGGGCCCTATTACTGATTAGGGCTTCTCATACCGTTCGCTCCTCTGATCTGTTACACAGAGTTGGCTGTTGTTGGCCGTCTGCACCCAAATCGTGTTATCGTTCACATCATGATCGATAACAAGACGCCAAACACGCCAACGGAGCAGAATGTACAGTACAAAGCGGGCAGATATATGGGCAATCGTCATACACCCGTCGTTTCTCACGTGACGGAGGACACTCACTGCTAGCCCGCCTCGCTCCGGCCAGCGCCGGCTCGAATCCAATCCATGACACCTGCAACCAGACATGTGAGCCAAAGACACCCCTCCCCCGCCGGCTGGCCCATGGCCGCGCAGTCCCCCCCCCCCCCCCCCCGTCCGTCCCGCCCCGTCTCGGCTGGCCCATCGCTCCCACAGCAGCACTGAGGAAACAGTTTCTCCATATTCGGTCTCAGAGACCAGTTTTCGGGCTAATGTCCCCTATTCAAACACAGACGACTTTTTAGAGAATACTGTTTGAGCAACGCCATTGATCGCAGAACAGATCTCAGTCAGTACCGCATTATCGATGTCAAGCTTTAAATCAGTCTCACTATGAAACCAGTTTTCAGCCCGATCCCCAATCCCGGTCTCACTTGAATCCAGAATTCGGGCTAAAAGTACATGAGCCCCGAAAGGAAGCCTTACTGAATCCTCTTTTAAACTCAGACACGTTTGAGGCATTTTAGCACTCAATTGAGTCTTTATCCAAACAAAATTTCAAAGTGTTTTCTGAGCGGGTCATATGACCCTCGCTTCAGCCGGCCTCGCCTCAGCCGGCGCCGCCTCGTAGCCAAAAGCCATGGGTTCCCCCGCATCATCATTAAAGGGACACTCCCACCTTAACATTAGTTTTGAGTTGAGATAGCCAAATTGGTGGCCATGGCCTGCAAATACCGGTTTGGGCACTCACAACATCGACAAATGCTTTAATTCGGAGATATGGAATTTCAAACTTGCAGTTTTCGGATTCTAAGGGGCTAGTGCATTGGTATGCCCCCTTAGAATTTGTGACGTCAGCGGAGATCTAACGATTTTTAAATCTTTTACTAAAACGTTTGGTAGCACGCGGTGGTATATGCTGCTTTGCGCGCAACAAATGCCGCACTTTCAAATAAAGTCGCTAGGAACAGCGGAGATCCCAAAAAGTAAACAAAAGTAAAAGTCTAATATCTTGAAAACCGGTGAATATTTTTCGATGAAATTTGGTAGATATTCGTTTTCGCTCTTTCTGAACCGAGCGACATCACTTTCGTGCCGATTCATTAACTTTTTTGAAGGTGGGAGGGTCCCTTTAAAATTTCATGACAACATGTCAGACCTCGTCACATCAGGTCTTAGCCGAAGTCAGCGGAACATCGTTAACTCAGATCTCGTGGCAGATTTTTCCGATGATATTGTGTTACACTTGAATATGTTCTAGGCATCCACGTAGGCCGTCTTGAGGTCGTGACGTCAGATCTTAGCCCAGGTCATCATATCCATATCCATATCAGATCCATCATATCCATCATATTCATCATATCAGATCCATATCATATCCATCGTATCTGATATGGATAGGTCATCATATCCATATCAGATCATCCCCAGATCATCGTAGGAGACCTGTGGACAGTCTGGACAGTCTATTGTAATAATACCTTACCGAAGACATCATCGCAGACTTTCCCAGGTCATCATGATTCATGTGAGACCTTGTGGAGGTCGTCAATCGACATGTCATGCCTCAGCCCAGGTCAGCGGATCATATTGAACTCTGATCATGTGTCAGACTTGGTCATGGGGTGTTTTTTCACACTGAAACGAAGAACCGTTGAGACTCCGGCTGTCGGTCGTGATAGCATAGGTATAACGATTTTACCCCAGGTCATCGTGTGGGATCGATGCATGTCCATCTTATTGGACCTTTGCCCAGGTGATTGTATAATAATAATGCTTTCCAAAGTCATCATCGCAGACCTTTCCTTGGTCATCATATCAGACCTTAATGAAGGTCGTCATCAGACAATAGCCTTGGTCATTGGCCGTAGTTACCTCAGATTCCGTAATGGAACTTGTTAAGGAATTGTAGCACAAGTCAACAAAGTCGTCTAATGAGAACTATTCACAGGGCACGGTGCGAGACCTTTGTGGTGGTCGTAATGTAAGACATTATCTCGGATCAGTGTGTCGGATCAAACCCAGGTCAGAATATAATACCGCTGTCAGGATATTGTGTAATAGTTAGCCAGAGTCATCGTCACAGACCTTTCCCATGCGATCTGGGCAGACCTTTTGAAAGTCGTGATTGGCCCAGATCATCGTATCAGATCCAGCCAAGATAATCGTCTTAGACCGTCCAAGTCAACGTATCAGGCCTCTGTAGGGTCGTGATATAAGACCTCATCCAAGGTCACCGTGCCATATCGCGTTGGGTAATACCTGACCCAAGGCATCGTCACAGACCTTCCCAAGTCATCGTGCCAAACCTTGTTGAGGCTGTCATATCAGATCGTATTCCGTGTCATCTTACCATATTTAAGCAATTTCCGTATCATCTTTTGGCCGGCAGCGAGCACGGCCCCCACCCTCCCATCCCCGACACCCTCGTTTGTCGACGTCCACGGGTCAACGGACCCGGCTAATGGGGCCATGGGCCCGCTCAGCGCCTGTTGACATGTTCGCTTCGGTCGACTTCCCGACGCTCTGTTTCACGCAGCTGGGACCCTCTCCCCATGGTGCCCACTCGCCCGGTCTAATGCCGGTGCTCTGTTTCACGCAGCTGTGCCCCTCTCCCCCACACACAGGCCGCCGCCTGCAGCGAATCGCCGTTTCAGGACGGGCTATCCGACGAGTACACCCAACAGGACCAAATTTGTACCCAATCTCTTTACAGCAAATCTTTTCCATGATAATACTTCAGGGAATTAAACGGTGATACTCTCCGACATATGACAAATGACAAAGCAGGCATACCAACAATTATTGCAACCCCAGCTGATAGCTGCTAAGATCCACACTGACACGAACTGACCAAATCTGCACCCAACCTGCACCAGATATGGGCACCGGTGGGAGAGGCAGCGCGAAGCAAACAGACGGGCGGTTAGGGGCCGCGGGCGGCGGCCCGGGATGGGAGGGTGGCCAGGCCGGGGTGCGCGCTGCGGGCGGGGCTGGTGGGAGGGAGGTGCCGCCGGGAGACAACGGCGCGGCCGGCGGCCTCAGGCGGTGGCAGGTGACAGTCCGGCTCGGAGAGACCGCGCGGCGGCCGGCGGCGCAGCCGCGGTCGGCGGGGTGGCCGGGCGGCGGCCGGCGGGGGGGGAGGGGTTGCCGCGGCGGCGGTCGGCCGGCGGGGGGGAGGGGTTGCCGGGCGGCGGCCGGCGGGGCGGCCAGGCGGCGGGGCGCGGGGGTCAGGTAGCCGGGACGATGCGATACATAAATGCGTATTCTCGAGAGGGTCGATACGTATATGATCCCCGCCACGCGGTCGACTTTATATGATCATATGAAATCTGCTGTTGCGTTGGTATAACAGTCTCGTACGTATGATGTTCACACGCAAATGCTACTATAGCCGAGTCGGTGAGCTATTCACACCTGGATCACACCTGGACTGGAGCGGCTGTTATGTATGCAATTGCCGAGTCGGAATGTGGTTCTTACTCCGACTGGAGCGGCTGGTATGCGATTAGCCGAGTCGGTGAGGCTTTCAAAGATTGTAACCAGACTGGAGCGACTGTCACGTTGTCGTATGCGATTAGCCGAGTCGGTGAGCGTTCGAGCCCAGACAGACTGGAGCGGCTTTATACTTTCTCATGCCAGTCGAGTCCGAATTACAGATTGTAATCAGACTGGAGCGACTGTTACGTTGTCGTATGCGATTAGCCGAGTCGGTGAGCGTTCAAGCCCAGACAGACTGGAGCGGCTTTATACTTTCTCATGCCAGTCGAGTCCGAATTACAGATTGTAATCAAACTGGAGCGACTGTTACGTTGTCGTATGCGATTAGCCGAGTCGGTGAGCGTTCAAGCCCAGACAGACTGGAGCGGCTTTATACTTTCTCATGCCGATTAGCCGAGTCGGTGAGCGTTCAAGCCCAGACAGACTGGAGCGGCTTTATACTTTCTCATGCCAGTCGAGTCCGAATTACAGATTGTAATCAGACTGGAGCGACTGTTACGTTGTCGTATGCGATTAGCCGAGTCGGTGAGCGTTCAAGCCCAGACAGACTGGAGCGGCTTTTGCGATTAGCCGAGTCGGTGAGCGTTCAAGCACAGACAGACTGGAGCGGCTTTATATTTTCTCATGCCAGTCGAGTCCGAATTACAGATTGTCATCAGACTGGAGCGACTGTTACGTTGTCGTATGCGATTAGCCGAGTCGGTGAGCGTTCAAGCCCAGACAGACTGGAGCGGCTTTATACTTTCTCATGCCAGTCGAGTCCGAATTACAGATTGTAATCAGACTGGAGCGACTGTTACGTTGTCGTATGCGATTAGCCGAGTCGGTGAGCGTTCAAGCCCAGACAGACTGGAGCGGCTTTATACTTTCTCATGCCGATTAGCCGAGTCGGTGAGCGTTCAAGCCCAGACAGACTGGAGCGGCTTTATACTTTCTCATGCCAGTCGAGTCCGAATTACAGATTGTAATCAGACTGGAGCGACTGTTACGTTGTCGTATGCGATTAGCCGAGTCGGTGAGCGTTCAAGCCCAGACAGACTGGAGCGGCTTTATACTTTCTCATGCCAGTCGAGTCCGAATTACCGATTGTAATCAGACTGGAGCGACTGTTACGTTGTTGTATGCGATTAGCCGAGTCGGTGAGGCGTTCAAGCCCAGACAACTGGAGCGACTTTATACTTTCTCATGCCAGTCGAGCCCGAATTACAGATTGTGATCAGACTGGAGCGACTGTGACGTTGTCGTATGCGATTAGCCGAGTCGGTGAGGCGTTCTAGCTCAGACAGACTGGAGCGGCTTTTTACTTTCACATGTCAGTCGAGTCCGAATTACAGATTGTAATCCGACTGGAGCGACTGTTACGTGTCGTGTATGCTAGCACGTTAACTTGACTTACCGGCCATGACAGTCCCCTTATGTGCCTCTGCGCAGTGCGGATCAGGTACTCCGTCGCGCCACACTCACTGTCGTCTCTCGTTTTTTCACTTATCCTGCTCGCTCATTTTTTTCGCAGCCTGTCACTCAATCCCCACTCGTCACCCCGTCCGTCGCCTCTGAGCGCGCGTCTCGGACTGTTCGACCACGTGGTGTTTGCTTCTTCCCCGGGCCTGTTCCACCACCCCTAGCTCCCTCTGTTTACTGCTCGTGCCTTATCTCGGGGTCAGCCTCCTCCCCTCTGCCTCGGGTCGTGTTTCCCCTCTCCTCTTCCACAGACACACGTCTCTACCGTCTTCGCCCCCCCCTGCCCCTCCCCTCCTTCCTCGTGCTTGCTGCCGGCCGCTCACTGACCTTCGAGCCCCTAATCGACAATAGGTGGGCCCTATTACTGATTAGTCGAAAAACGTACTTGGAGCCCAAGATCTTTTGACAATAAAACTCAAGTTACTATAGTTGTCACAAAGCGTTCGCCGTTTTCGTGTCAGGTGCAGCTGTTAGCTGTCATGCTACTACATGGTTCTCTGTGCGCTCAAATACGATGTCCTGAGGCCTCTTGCACCAATAATTAGCTTCTTGTGCATCTGACACACTGCAAGGGTTCTACCAAGACGCTTCACTTATAGATTATGTAAAAAAAAAAACTGCAGTATATGTTATGAGCCGGTCCAAAAGAATTGACCTCCATAGGTTCTGATTGCGAAGTAGTTTACCGATGTTACTTCGCAAGGTATTTTATTTTGGTGCAAGCCGCGTTGCTGCTATTCCCAATCTTTTCAACTCTGTGGCTGTTTGAGTTTTGCTTAACTAACCTGACTTATGTTCTGTGTCCGTTATGACCGTTATGATCGTTTACATTACGTCATGTGACACTAATGGTTATCACTTCTTTGTTCCATTTAGTATTTTGCACACCTGTGCTACTTTACGCTACCCCTGCGTCCCATTGATCGCTATACCACCCACCAAACCTCCCTTTAAAAATGGGTGGGGCGGGGACAGGGGGAGGGGGAGGGGCCCGACCATGGGAGACCGCCTCCCGATCAATGCGCACACACGCTCATTGTCATTGCATCGATCCCTGTACTGCTGTCGTGTTTTGGTGACAACATAGCGCATCCGCTAACTGTGATGGGTGCATCTTGTATGAATACATTACGACGCACGTGCTTTGTGGTACGCCTTTGACCTCGCAACTTGTGTGGGTGCATTCTCTATTCATGGAATGTAGTGTCATGACTCATGTGTACATAATAGGTTGAATTTCTATTCACCTAGTATGGTGTAAACAAACTATTTTATGACAAATGCTACAGGGAATACACTTGTTGAGCGCTACCATATTCAGATGTTTTCCGAAGTAATTGCAGCCAGTCTGCAACGGCATTGCAGGCACTCTGTACTCACTATTGTGTCTAAATAGTCGTCAACTACTGTGGATTCACGAATCTAGTCGTCTTACCCTCACATGCAACTGAAACTTTATGTTGTGGCTTGATGGCTTATTGCCTGTGAAGCGAAACTGATGTGTGGACTACAGACCTTTTAGGTGTGTGTTGCCTGTTGCTGTGGTAATGTGCAACTAACCTATTTAGAGCTTGTAAATGGACATTTGAAATACTCGTTTGATGATTGCATAGCATGTGCCAAGAAGTTCAGCTGAGACTTCAAGCCCTACCAATGCCTGAATACAAAACAAAAACTTCACTGACACTGTTTAAAGGGACACTCCCACCTTAACATTAGTTTTGAGTTGAGATAGCCAAATTGGTGGCCATGGCCTGCAAATACCGGTTTGGGCACTCACAACATCGACAAATGCTTTAATTCGGAGATATGGAATTTCAAACTTGCAGTTTTCGGATTCTAAGGGGCTAGTGCATTGGTATGCCCCCTTAGAATTTGTGACGTCAGCGGAGATCTAACGATTTTTAAATCTTTTACTAAAACGTTTGGTAGCACGCGGTGGTATATGCTGCTTTGCGCGCAACAAATGCCGCACTTTCAAATAAAGTCGCTAGGAACAGCGGAGATCCCAAAAAGTAAACAAAAGTAAAAGTCTAATATCTTGAAAACCGGTGAATATTTTTCGATGAAATTTGGTAGATATTCGTTTTCGCTCTTTCTGAACCGAGCGACATCACTTTCGTGCCAATTCATTAACTTTTTTAAAGGTGGGAGGGTCCCTTTAATGGCATAGGCATTTCATGCATGGGCTTTCACGACTACAGCAATGCTTGGTAGTGGTACAAAGTTCGGTGAACTGAACTTTCCCAGCATTGTGAACTGTAACTATCTGCACTTTACTCTCCTCGAACATCTTATTCCATTGTAACGCTCACATATTCAGTATTCAGTAGTAACTATTATAAGTTGTCAATATCGGATGCTGTGCAGTTTTTTTTTTTTACTGTTTCCGATAGTCTCGGTCTGCGAACAGAGCAAAACCCTTTATGGATAACAACTGACCACTGACCTGTTATGAGTGATTCCACATTGGTAACCTCAATCCCCCATTTTCAGATGAGTCGTCAGTGGTACAGGACGGGTGGCAGCCACATCCGATAATTCCTCCGTCAATCGCCCGTCCCCGTCTAGTGGTGGTCGTCTCGTCAGCACCGCGCAGCGGCTCCAGCTTTCTAGGTGAGCTACAGTCTTATGTAGGTGAGCCCCAGCTTTCTAGGTGATTTACAGTCGTATGTAGGTGAGCTCCAGCTTTCTTGGTGAGCTCCAGTCTTTCATGCGTGAGCTCCAGGCTTCTAGTCTACATACATGATCCCCAGGCTGTCCAATCAAGTATAATTTTATTCTATTTTCGTTCGGCATTTTCAGCGTCAAGTGGCTCAAACAAAAAATCATTGTGTATTGTGTAATCGACGACAAATAACGTTTATCACCAGTCTCACTTGACCAATTTTGTGACCTCCGTATCACATGATACTCTAAATCTATTTTTCCATGATGAGAACATTTGCCTATATTAAAATCAAAACGTCTGTACGTAGCGCGTCAGTTCCCTTTGGCGGGCTGTTGCACGGTGACGGTGCGGGTTGCGGGGTTGAAACTTTGGCGCCGAGTCGGACGTGTGCAACCATTTGTCGTATTAACCCTCGCACGACCAGGCCATTTCTCACGAACGACCAGGGGGGGGGGGGGTTGTTACGACCCCCCCTGGCGTTTCGAAACGGAAGGTCGTAGAGCTTAGCGGAAAAAAAACAACGGATTGCTCTCAACGAGATCTCGCGATAGGTGGTATATTTGTTGGTCCTAGGTCAACATTTGACCTATTTTTGACCGGTCAAAGGTCAAATTTTCGGAAAAATAGACTTTTTCAACTTTCCGCGGCGATTGCGGCAAAACGGTGGGAGATATCGACTTGAAACCTTCACTATCGTTTTCCTTGATCAAGTCTCTATCGTTTGGTATGTATTTCGTTTCCCTAGCTCTAAAAATGGCGCGTTGGGAGCGCCGGAAGTCGGCAAGGTCACAGTCGGCGGCAGAAATTCGAAAAATCAAAATTTATTTTTTTGAAATCTGATTGTATTTTTGGATTTGGGAGGTCCATTTGCTCCCTATAGAAGCTAATATTGCTGCATATTCCCATTGAGGTGACAAGAATTAGCAAAATAGTGGTTCGGGCGCTTTTCAAAAATAGTACCGGACGCTGTTCCTCTTGTGACGTCATAACTCCGTGACCTGACCTGACCCGGTCAATTTTCTTGCACCACACGATAGCCAATGCTTGCCCCAACATGCATGGGAAGTTTCATCATGATCCATCAAACAATGTGGGTATCACCGGCAGAAAACCTAGGGATTCGGCGCACACGTTTGGTAACTGTCGGCCGGAGGCTGTACCTCTTATGACGTCATAACTCCGTGACCTGACATGACCCGATCAATTTTTTTCGGCAAAAGATGCGCAAAGGTTGCCCCAGAGGGTATTGAAAATTTCAGCCCGCTACGACAAGCCGTTTAGCGTGCACTTCGAAAAAACCTCAGGGGGGGGGTTGATACAACCCCCCCCCCCTTGGCGTTCTAGGGTTAAATTTTGGTAGGGGTGGGTTCAGTGGTTTACGGTATGCGGTTGTATGCGGTAATCCGTGAATATGCGGTCATCTGCGACCCTTCGTATGGTGGAAGAAGCGGTCAATCGGTTAGCTGTCGTCACCGCATCCCGTATTTTAAATACATTTGTGTAGTCTATGTACCACATGGTACTGTCGAGACCGTTCGGAAATGGTTATGTCAAACATCTGCCATATAGGATGCATTGCTTGACTGAAAGCTTAGCTGGGTGCCAATATCCGCTTGTGATACATACGATTAACCTTGTACAAGTATAGGCGCTGGGCCAAATGTCGCTACGTTGAGTATGTATAAAAGAAGGCGAATAATCTTCGTTTTGTTCTTTATCCACCGGCTCCCCATACCTTAGTTTTATTAGAAATTCGATGAGAACCTAAATTACCCGCGGCGCCTGGGCAGGACATCCGTGGTCTTACGCTAATTTCATTCACACAATGTCCATGTAAAATCTTAAGAATAATCTGTTTCTTTAATAATTTTAAAATGGCAATTAAACTTTCAAAAGTAATTTATAAGAGTAAGCAATCAAAGGGGCAAACCCGAGCCTTGGCAGGGCTCCCTTCCACCAACTAATCACCCTATTTTTAGAGACGATAATCTTACACTAGCAATGATGTAGCAAAGACAATGTGAAACAGCAAAGTAAACGGTATATAGGGCCTTGAAAGTAAACGTTATTGCCTTTGTCCACAGGTCAGCTAATGTCAAGTCAACGTGGCGCATTGTATTTATTCGAGCCTTTTTGGTTTTACAAACATCTTTACAACAATAAGACCGCTGCTCCGTACAACTATACAGCAGCAAGCGACCTCTACAACCTGCTTACTTGCAAGTGAGTTTGGCGTAAGCCGTAAGCCGCACTTCAGGTCAACTGATCAATAATCTGATCTTTCGAGTGATAAAAACTGAGAAACCTGTTTTGTCTGATACGAGTACATATAGGCAATGCGAGCCCCAATCCGCCTCAACAGAATTATTGATGTTCTACCTTAATGTGCTGTGATGTCTTACCATCATTCGTTTGAAATCAGGCAAACACCAGACGTACCAACTTAATGTATACTATACTCACTCTATACTCAGACTTACTGGTTTAGGCTTCATGTATCATTACTTAGTGATCATGATCATTACTTAGCAATAGCTAATGATCACTATTCGATTCAACCACTGCAAGCGTTCCTCATGTCAGCTAGATGTTTACTCTTATATTCAACTTTTTGTCCTCAGAACCAAATTATTCTCATCCCTAATGACATTGCTTTGGTTCAGGCTGGCGTCTAACCCACCCAGAAAACTGATGGGGACCAGTCTTTACTGGGCGATCGTTTTGGTGGCTTGGTGACCTTAGTTGCTGGAACGAGTCACATTCTAAAGGAGTTGGGTGGGTTCTACCGCAGCGACCCAGTAGAGGTGTTTAAATCAATGCTAAGTCTTCAGCCTCAAACTTACCCTCTCATCCCACTGTCGTGAAATGGTCTAAGAAGATAAAACAAAACATATCTTATCGTCTAAATCAGTCAAGCAATACAATAGCAAAAACGGCATAATTCGCTCACTTTCTGACTTCTCGCGTTTGCCCGTTCCCCAGTTTGGACGCTCTGCCGCCCATGTTTGCCGAACGAAGACACAGTGGCTTCATCTGGAGGAAGCCCAAGATACTGAAGCGCGACCCCAGCAGAGTGCACCTGACTTCACTGTGTCTCAGCACTTCAATACGTGTTATCAAGACAATCCGACCCCGGCTGGCAAACGTCCTACCTCTTTTGAAGGTAGGACTAGGTAGTTACTACTTACTCCAATCATGAATTCGATTACTTTATAGAGGTAGAGTGATTTTGATAGCCGTTCTTGTCTATGGAGCCTGTTTGGTAGCGTGTTTGTTAACCTCACTATGTAGGCTAGATATAGCATAGGCGCATATAATATTACCTGATCATGTTTTTGTCTTTGATTTGGCCGTTCCTTGTGGTAGGTGTAGGACGTAGGTCTACATTTGCATTTCGTCCGTGTGCAAGAGTACAATACGTCCATACAATCAGCTGGAAAATGCCTTGAAACGTTCATCAACCACGCTGTTCAGAGTTCAAGCTCAAAGCATAACATCCATAACAAATTGTTATCACACTCTCATCCGGCGTCCACATAACTCCACTCCACATTTCCACACTTAGCGGACGGATCTGGACGTGCGGATCATCCACCTGGTGCGCGATCCACGCGCGATCCACAACTCGCTCCTGACGAAACACCACGCGTGGCCACAGCGACGTAGGAACGCCACACTGCTGTGTGAGGACATCCGAGCCGATCTACGGGCCTCTCAGAGCATCAACAGTGACCGCTGGACGGGCGTGAGGTGGGTCTGAGAGCCAGAGGAGGTTAGAACTGGGGAACATCTAGGGAACAACTGGGGGAAACTGGGGAATGGAATGGATACTAGGTGGTTCGGTATGTAAAAAATATGTTCGTGAGATTATGGTTCGAGTATCTGTGAAGGGTAGAAGTGTATGTCGGAATAAGCTACAATATTTTCAATGCATGACAAGGGATACGTTTCTAAATGTCAGGGGAATTTCGCTTTTTTGTAAGGTAACTTGTAGTGCCACGAGGGTATCGGTTTAGTTCGTTTTCAACCATCGCTGTTAGACCTCGATTACATTGAATAATAATCAAGCTGGCTAGCCTTCGTTGTGTCACAGTGAGTTATATTATTTGCTGTTTCACTTGGAAACCGATGAAGACATAGTCTCTGCAGGTCTGCTTCACGTAAAAAATAGTTTTTATCCGTCATTCGTGTCCTTTTTATCGTTTAATTTTTTTTCGTACACACAGGTACGAGGACTTGGTGGAAAGGCCAGCAGATGAGGCCAAACGTCTCTTAGAGTTTCTGCAGCTGCCACTAACAAATGAGACGTTAGACTTTATACGAACACATGCCCGAAGTCGCGACGCTCCTAAAAGTCCTGACACTGCGGGAAATTCCACTAAAAGAGACCGCGGTCACGCTGCCGAAAACCGTGGCCAGGATGTCGCTGACGAAACCAAAGATGAAGAAACTCAAACAGTGGTACAAGGCGACAACAACCACAGCCAGAAGCAAATAGCGACAGCTGAAGATAAGCTCTCAGCACTGGCAGAAGGCAATCAGCATGGCCAACTCCGAAACCCATGAAGGGGATTGCTGAGGGAACGGGCCGAATTTCTGAAGCAGTGAACAGTATTTTCGCAGCTGTGGGCGGCTCAACTGACGAAAGAGGATCGCCTGGTTCAGGTCGATTCGCCCGAAGGTTGCATAGGTACGTAACAGTAGTCATGCACCTTTCCATGACCATAATGCATGTCAATGTTTGATTGTTACGTTTCCTTTACTTCTCAATCGTAATGGTATACTTTTCTTTGAAGTATCTTAGACAAGTTACAGGCACGAATGTAGAGCCTCAGTACATAAATAATGATTCGGTGATCGAATCACGACCTTTCGCTTCACATAGCGATAGGCGCTATCACAAGTGTATTCGCGGCCATTGGGGCGACGTAAGAAAAGAAGAAACAACTGGCCCCAAGAACTTTAAATTATCAGCCAGCATGCACCTTTTCTTTGATATGTAAAGAATTAACCATTAATTGTTAGAGAAAATTGCATTTAAAATCTTCCATTTATGCTTTTTTCATCGTTTGCTCAGTATGTTCTTTACTAAGCTAGAAACACTAATCATAAATAGTTCCCGCATCATCAAGAACAATAGGGAAGGCTTGAAGTGAATACAATAATCTAAACGGTTTTGTAATCCATGTGAAGACACTTCTAAAATTGCCTGTAGAAATATTAAAGGCAAAAGTTCAACTTTTCACAAGACGGATGGCTATAAACCTATTCAACGTGTGACAACTCAGCCGGTAGTTCGTCGCCTACAGCCCAGCTTTTCCGAGTGACCGATAGAGGCGCTGCTATCGATGTCCGCCCGTGCCGCCTAACGGTAGTTGTGTAGTTACAGAGTCAAGAAATGCATGCTGTATGATATGACTACAAAGTACAATCCATGCATGTATGAGGCATATAATAATACAAACGGTAACGTCGTAAAGCTGCCATGCAACGTGGTTTGACATTTCTGACAGAGGACGCGTTCTTTTACAGGTCCAATGTATTGGGACACATTCGTCCTGATGCAAGAAACACCATTGCTGGGGACACACGAAGGCGACGAGACACCGCACTGGTCAGCACACATCGCGGCACACCACGACGCCTTCTAGCAATCGGTGAAGAGGACGAGCCTATCCAACAGAAACCCAAACCCAAGACCAGAGGCGGTCGAGCGCCCACCTTCCGCCGTTTGACCAGAAATGAGTATGTCAGAGCCTTGAAAAGACGGGAAGTCTTCAAGAAGAAGAAGAAGGGGCCCGCTTATTACTTTGCTACTGTGCGAGGCGCAGAGTTTGATAGGCTGCACTGGATTCGTGAGCTGCCTCCTGCCGAGCGCAGTAACGTTGAAAATGCATGTGAAGACGTGTTGGCTAGTCTAGGCTATCCGCTTCGTTACCCAGAAGAGAACAATGGGCTGTGATCGAGTCTGTTTCAATTAGGGAAGCACAATATCGCTTGAGTGAGATGCGTGCTGCTCAGGATTTTGAACCTACAGAAAGTGATATTGGCAAATGTGTATTCAATCGTAAGGAGCTAAGATGACTGTACCCCGTGTAAAGATTCACAAGCATGCATGCAGTTGCAGAATAGTTGGCATGTATTCTTTAGATAGGATTTTTAAGCCAGTATCGATTCCCAACAAGTCAAAACCTAGAGATACGTATCATTGCACTATCAATGTAATGCTATGCTGTTGTTTTGCTGATGTTCGTGAGTGCAGATATTCACATCAAAATGATGACACATTGCGATTGTCCCTATGGTGACCACGTGTATTAGTGTGTTTTGCCTCACATTGTGGGCTGCAGAGTCTTTCTTTTGATTATTTTGTTGTCTCATTGTATAGAAACATGCTATTTCAGGTTTGTGTTGAGCTTAGTTTTCCAGGCATGGGTGATCAAGTTGCATTTCCTATTGCATATTTGAATAAAGCGCTATAAAGACATGGCTACCATAGACCCGGGAACAGGGGGGGGGGCAGCGGGGCCGCTTGCCCCCCCCCCCCAACTTGAGAGCCGAGGGGGCGGCGGCCCCTCAACATTGAGGCAGCGTGAAAGGATCCTTCTTTCCTTTTCCGGACTTTTTTCCTTCTTGTTTCCTTTATACATCTAAACATCAACACATGGCATTTTCCTTGCCATCTGAATGGTTTCTGCTGAAACAGTATCGATTTCACAACATCTGCTATTGTCTGTTGTCGTCCCGCTTGAATTTGGCCCTGACCTTGGCCATAAGTTTGGCACGCCAGATTGTATACTGGACCATTTTCAGTCAACTTTGAGAAATACATAACGTACAACGGTGGTAAACTCGTTGCTATATAGGTATAACACAGTTTACCCGCTCCGGGTGTGAGGGAGGGGTGTGGGGCAATGAGTGCACTGACGTGGCGCCCACGGAAGGCCGGTATGGGATCAAAGCTCAGCGACACTAAGGGCTTGTGTGGTGCCTTCGGTTATCGGTAGCACCCTCAGAATCACCGCCGGGGTAAGGCCCTCAGAGCTGCCGGTAAGGGGCCTTTAGAGGCACTGGTGTGGGGCCTGTTACGAAATGTACTATATTCCCCACTTGTGTGCACAGTTAACGCCGGTTATCAAATCATCGGTACGAGAGAGAGTAGATATCTTTGTACTTTACGATACAAAATTCAATGATCATTCCAAAGACCGAACAACTTTCACTCTCAATCTAGGTTTCGTAATCTACAATCTAGGATGTACAATCTAGGTTCAATCTAGCACCGTTTTTCACCCCGTCTTTCCTTTTTCTAGTTCCATACATTCCGTCTCAAAACTCAGGCTCCAAAAATACAACGCTCGCGATTTGAAGCGTGACTAAAGGAAATCGGTCTTCCATTTTAGAATCCGCAATACCCTCCCCCCGGGTGACCTGCAGCGCTCTCAGCTATTTGTTTCTGCTCAGGTAAAGTCTCTGAACGGGGCACTGCAGGTCACAATCTACTGTGCGCAGAGCCGCCGCCCGTGCTCTCCCGCGTCTCGGCCCGGGTGTAGCGCCGTGAAGATCCCGGTTTTCCACAGCAGCCTGTTCCTGGGCCGGTCGCCCTCGATGAGTACCAGATCGACGACACTCGCTTCGGCAGCTTGTTTGGCGCTCTGAAGTCTCGCAGGTTCGTTGTACGAGGGTCGTTCCAAAAGTAATGCCTCTCTGGCAGGCGACTGCACGCAGTACGGCGAAAATGTCGCATGACCTCATCTTCTTCCTTTTTGCAAGCTTTCTCCGCTCCTGTGGCACTAATTCCGATGCCCTCCAAGCTCCATAGGGCCTCAAGCTGGCTTCTCGGTTCCGTTTGCCGGGCTTGGATGAAGTTCGAAATGACTGGAGCTGAGCTTTCTCCCTTCGTCTCCAGTCGTCCAGCCAAGATCCATCCAAAGCAGGAGCTCATGGCAACTGGTCCTACTGGGCCTCTCTTGATATCACCACTTATCACATCTTGGAAGTGGTCCAGTCCAATGAGGATGTCAACCTCCTGGCCACACGATTGCTCTGAAAGCTCCGCCAACTGGAGCCCGGCGAGATGCGGGTACTGCTTCAGATCAGCTCTGGTGGCAATGGGTGGTGCAGTGCAGATTTCAGGCACCTCATAGGCGTGAACAGTGATCCCCGGCTTCATCCTAGCACTCAGCGTGACCTGTACCCTTTTGGTGAGCTTGCATGTCGTTTTGCCGCCACCGAACGTTTCCAACTTCAGTGGGTCACTGTACAGAATTCTACAGCCGAGGTCACGTGCTGCCTGTGCTCTGATGAAAGTCTGGTTACTGCCGGAGTCTAGCATAACGCGTACGTTCATTATCTTTGTCTAGGCGTTCAGCTGCGAACTTCAAAGCCTCCTCGCCCTGAAGTCCGTACTTGGAGGCCAAATCTAGATACGTTTCCATTAGTCCAGAACTGTCCTAAGGGTCCTGCCAGGGTCGCCAGTAATGTTACGAAATGTACTATATTCCCCACTTGTGTGCACAGTTAACGCCGGTTATCAAATCATCGGTACGAGAGAGAGTAGATATCTTTGTACTTTACGATACAAAATTCAATGATCATTCCAAAGACCGAACAACTTTCACTCTCAATCTAGGTTTCGTAATCTACAATCTAGGATGTACAATCTAGGTTCAATCTAGCACCGTTTTTCACCCCGTCTTTCCTTTTCTAGTTCCATACATTCCGTCTCAAAACTCAGGCTCCAAAAATACAACGCTCGCGATTTGAAGCGTGACTAAAGGAAATCGGTCTTCCATTTTAGAATCCGCAATAGGGCCGTCATGCAGGTGCCGGTGTGGGCGCTCAGAGGTGCTAGTGTGATTCTCTCAGAGGCACCGGTGAGGGTCCTTACAGGCGTTGCTGTGGGCCCTCGTAGACGCTGATGTGGAGCCGTTACAGACGGGTGTGGGGCCTTTAGAAGCTGCTGACGCGAACCCTCTACCAGCCGGCAGGGGGTTCTCAGTGACCGGCAAGGGGCCCTTAGGCCGGCAGAAGAAGTCCTGTGGGGTCCTTAGAGACCAGCATGGTACTGTCACACACCGGTGGGGCCCTCAGAGTCACCGGTGTGGGGCCCTCAAAAGTCACCAGTGGGTGGCCTTAAGATGCACAGGTATTGGCCAATGGCCTGGGTCCTCAGAGCCGCCGATATAGGGCTTTAATAGGCACTTGTGTGGGCACTCAGACTCAAAGTGTTGGGGGTGTTAAATCCTCAGAGACAGCGGTGTGGGCCCTCATAGACACCGATGAGGGCCCCCACAGTCGCCGTTATGGGGCCGTCAGAAAAATAAGTGTGGGACCATCACAGGCGGGAAATGCCCATAGAAGTGGCACTTCATAGGCTGATAAGAACTCCCAGAGGCCAGTCCCGGGCCTTTAGAGACCACCGAGGGGCCCTTAAAAGCCGTAAGAGGCCCTCAGAGGCCGGTGTGGGGCCCTTATCGAGATCTTAGTGTGGCTCTTTAGGGCCCACGAGGTGCTCTAACAATCCCCATAGGGCCCTTTTGAGTCGAAATATGGCCATCGTTACCTCACTGGTCAAATGGCGCTGCAGGGCCCCTGGGACCCGAGGGTCCCTTTGAACCCGATGGGGGGGGGGGGGCTACGTGTCCCCTTAGGCCCCTAGCTACGCCACTGCTTCATATGCATCATGTCAGGTATTTTAGGCTCGCCCCCCCCCCCCAACTTGAAAATCGTTCCCGGCCCCTGATGGTTACACGGCATATAAATGATGATTGGATGTTTGACGGTTAAAACAACCAATCACTACTCTACTTATGACATTTTTTGTAACACGTCGTACCCGCTAAGGTAAATGTTTGGTTCGGTTTTCATTGTAAGCGGCAGCTATGCTTAGTTCAAAGACATTTGTTTTTAAGGAAAAATTTGGAATCATTTTAATTTCACGAATGACAGCCGTTTAAGATTCGACACGAGTGTAACGTTATCGCGGTATTCGCAATTCGCGTTTACATCGACCCAGAGCTGACGGTGTAGGAGGGCTGTTTGTCTTCTGATTTCTTTTTCTTCTGACATCGATTTGCCTTTGCTTGAACACTTGCAAAGGTCAAGTAAAGTTTGCTCGCTAACATTCAAACACGTTATTCTTGGCGTTGGTCAAAGCCACATGACCTTAACATGCATACAATTACACATCAATAACGTCACCCTCCTATTTCGACGAAACACCAACCCTCGTCACGTAAGTACATTTATGTGTTCTGCATCGTTTCGTCCGTTTTATTCAATTTTCATTGACTGGGTGATAACTCGTCTCTGAGACCGGTGTGGAACAGCGTCTCAGCAGCGACACCAAAAGAGCTTACCAGCCCGATTTCTGAATCACCTGAAGGCGAATCACCTGACGGACATCACAAACGGCATGTCATCAGTGCAGGTATGTAAATAGCGCGGTTATTTTGATTGCTGACTTTGTGTCTCTGTGCACTTTGGCGGGCTGCCGCAGCACGTGTCAACGAGGTAGGTACCGTATAATGACTGAAAGGAGCTGATGGAAACGATCAATACCCGATGCTCTGCTGAGATTTTTTTTTGTCTCATGGGACCATCCGACTGTCTTTGTCGAGCTGAGACTCAATGCCTATGTCTGAAACTCGTGTGTCTGTTGAGACTCCTGCGGGGTCGGAAATGGCAGTACAGTCAACAGTGTCTGTGTGTTTGAACAGTTATGCTTCTACCCTTTGCAGATGTTCGCTAGCAAAACTTCGGAACCATTATCTTTGTAAAATTTTCGATTTTTCATATTTATTTGGCAAGGTAGCCTACTCTCATGTCAGACACCAACTCTGCTGCTCAATCACCGATGCTCCCCCGGATTTCATGCCTGGCGCCGCCTCTGTCAGTCGCTGCTGCCCGCCAAGTCGCTGTGCCTGGCGCCGCCCCTGCGACTGTCCTGCCCGCAGGCTGTGGCCGGTCGGCCGGAGCGAGGCTGGCCGTCGCGCGCGCGAGCATTTTATCTGTCGGCGTTCGATGTGTGCGTGCGGCTCCCGGTGAGAAAAGGTGAGAAAAGGTTGAGCTTTGCAGACGTTGTTTTGGGTGTTAGTAACAGTATTGCGTTGTTACTTTTTGAGTAAGTTACGGTAATAACTTTTAGGGAGTTTGGGGGGTATAAATGTAAAAGTTTCGCTAAAACAGTTCAAATGTTTTTCGCTTATAACTTTTGATCTAGTTAAAATAGAGCGAAAAGAAGAGCACCAGTAAACTCAGCACTCTATGCGCATCGAATGGTATACCTACTTTGCTACCAGTTTAACCCGCGGCCGCTGGGCCTCCGCGCCACCCGCCAGCCGCTGGGGGGGGGGGCATATAGTTGTCCCCCCTTTACTTCTCCGACGATATCGTCGGAACACGAAGAGATAGAGAAACGAAACTTTGCACACATATTCCTGAATACCTAGCCGAGGTTGTGTCCAAATTTGGGACGCCGGTG